ATATATATATTTTTTTTTTTTTTTTTTCCTCCACTATTTTCATTGGCTCAAGATCTGGGAACATTTTCCTTAGCTCTTATTTCCTTGGGCAGAGTGAATTCAAAATGCCAGTGCTGGCAACTCCTTGGAATTTTGAGGTGGGCTTTCAGAAAAGCTGTAGAGCCTAGTTACTTGTCATGTTTATGTCATCATCCAAGAATGAACCATTCCATAGTAGTTTCCAGACATTAATATCTGAAACCTTAAAAAGAGATTTTGGGAACAGAAGTGGTTATTACTACACTTCCCGGCTTTCTTAATCAGAGGCTTTGGAACATGTGAGTCTTTGTGACCCTGGCTGTGGTCTTGTGTCCAGAGTTTGCTGGTGCTAGCCGTGAAAGTCAAGGCTTCACACTGAAGACCCATTTCATGTTTTCAGCCTTTTTTTTTGGGGGGGGTTACAGGTGGGGAGCTATTTTTGTTCTTTGGAGATAAGGTCCCATGTTGGCCTTCAAGTGTCTGTGCAACCCAGGCTGGCCTCCAACTGGTGATCTTCCTACCTCAGCCTCCCAGGTGCTGTTTTTTTTATTTCCACTATTCTTCTGTCTACTTTAAAAAATAATCTATTCCACTGGAGAGATGGCCCAGCGGTTAAAAGCACTGGCTGCTCTTCCAAAGTGCCCAGATTCAATTCCCAGCACCCACATGGCCCCTTACAGCTGTCTGTAACCAATTCTAGAGGATCTGACACCCTAATACAGACATACATGCAGGCAAAACACCAATGTACTAAAAATAAATGAATTTAAAAAATAATCTGTTGATTGCTTCATCAACTCTATTACCCTGTATCACCATGGAGGCACATGCTGAGGTAGAGGATTCTGAGTTGGAGAAGCCCTGTGTTAAACACATAAGCAATCCCTCCCAATCCCCAAAGTGTCAGAAACATTCATGGCAGGTATACGGGTAAGTGGGTTGTCATAACTCTATTTCTAAACTTGGAAACCCGGAAGCAATGTCAAACATCAAATGCCAGTTTGCAGCCTTCATTTTGGGGCCTAAGGCAGACCCCCCCCCAACCTACCCCATCCTTCTTGGCTTGTTTCAATTTGTCTGTGGACTGAGAAACCAGAAAATCACATCTGTTAGAAGATGTGAAAAGCAAGATCTTTTGAGTTTGACAAATTGTATTAAAGTTCATCTGGAGAAGTAAACATGCAGAAAGAACTTGGGACTATTACAAGGAGTATTACAAGCGACAAGTGCATGAGGGTGCCATCTAAAGCTCAGATCATAAAAGAGCTGGGCACTAACATAAGAACAAGCAGGCAGATCAAAGGGACAGAGTACGTCCAGACACACACCCACAGACAGCTTCAAATTTAATAAACGATAGAATGACATTTGGATCAGGGGAGAAAGGATGAATGATTCAATCAAATCAGATAACTGGCTAGCTGCTTAGGAAAAGTACTAAAGTAAGCTCCCCACTTCTGAAGTAAACCCCAGATGGAGCAAAGATATAAATGCAGAAAGAAAACCATAGAATTACTAGAAGAAAATATTAGCCAAAAAAAGCATTCTTGGGAAGTATGACAAACAGGAGAGTCAGAAGGGTAGTTAAAACAACAATGACAACCACAACAAACCCAGCTAGCTTTAAATGTAATATCCTATTTCTACCCTCCCCCTTTTACAACGCCCAGTTTTGAGACAGGGTCTCTAGCCTGGGCTAACCTGGAATTCACGGTGGAATGTGACCTTGAGCTTTTGGCTCTCTTGCTTCCACGCCCCGAACACTGGGCTTCCAGGTGTGCATCGCCACACCCAGCTTATGAGGTGCTAGGGATGGAACACAGAGCTTCATGCGTGCTAGGCAAACACCCTATGTTTGGAGCTGCACCCTTGGCCCAGGCCCTAAAATCTAAAAGCAAACAGCCAAGTAGCAATTTTTTTTCCTATGTGGATGACAAGTGAGTTCTTCTAAGTCAACAAAGAAAAGGAACAGAAAACTGGACTGAGCTGGGGACAGAAAAGGAGTAACAAGTGATTAACAAGGAGAAAATGCTCTCCCCAGCCCAAGTCCTCTTGCATCAAAACCTGGAGATGACGAGATTTTCTTTCCGATGAGTTGACTGGCTATGATGGAAAGGGCAGCTGCTCACTGTGTGAACACAGGCATCCTTGGAAGTACGAAGGCAACTGTGCCTCGAAGAGATTGATAACAAAAATGATAATGAATTCATAAACAGCTCAGAAGACCCATGCCAAGGAATGGAGCTGTGAGTGGGGGGTCACACAGAAGTGTGAGCAAAGCCAGGCGTGGCGGCCCATGCCTGTAACGCTAGCACTCAGGAGGCCGAGGCAGGGGGATTCCGAGTTGGAGAAGCCCTGTTTTAAAATAAACACATAAACAATCTCTGCCAATTCTATTTCTAAACTTGGAAACCTGGAAGTAATGCCAAACACCTCAGGAGGGTCCTGGATAAGTATGTGATAGGCAGCTTGCCTGTGGAGTGTGCAGCTCAGTGGAGGGGCCCAGCTTTGTGGGATGCTATCATGAAAGACACATGGCCACTGCTCCATGGAGGGGATGGCTGGAGGACGTATTCAATACAATGTTGGGCCACCCTGGATTCCTGGATCAGGAACCCTGGGTCTGGGACCTAGCATATTGTGTGTAATGGATGTTTGAGAAGTACTGGCAGGAAGCATGAATCAAAAATAGATATAAATCTCTTGGCTATTCTGCCTTGGTTTCTAGGATTCACCAGAAATGATTTCCTATGAGCAGAGCAAGGAGGCAAGAAGCGACAGGCAGAGCTTTTTTGTTTGTTGAGTCTCACTGTGTAGCCTGATTGGCCTGGAACTCACAAGCCTTACATGCCTCCTAAGTGCTGGGATTATATGTGTGTGCCAACACTCCCAGCTAATTCATTTTCTTTTTTCCTTTTGGTTTTTTGACACTGGGTTCCTCTGTCCTGCAACTTGCTCTGTAGACCAGGCTGGCCTAGAAATTTTCAAAGATCCGCCTGCCTCTGCCTCTGCCTCTGCTGATATCAAAGACATGCACCACAACTGCCTGGCTAACCCATTTCTTTTAAAACATTTTTTATGGGCCTGGAGAGATGAGACTCATAAACTAAGAGCAGTGGCTTCTCTTCTGAAGGACCTGGGTTTGATTCCCAGCACCCATATGGCAGCTCACAACCTGTCGCAACTCCAGTTCCAGGGGAATCTGACGCCTCTGCAAGCATCAGGCATGCATATGATATAGACATACAAGCAGACAAAATATCCATCTATACAAAGAATATAATAATGATAACGTATTTAAAAACGTTTTATTCTATTTAGTGTATGTGCATATGTAAGTGTGTGTTTATGTAGGTATGTGTGTATATGTGTGTGTTTGTGTGTGTGTGTGTATGTGTGTAGGTGCACATGAGCCATAGCATGTGTGTAGAAGACAGCTTGCTGAAGCAGGTTCTTTTGTTTCACCATGTTGGTCCTAGGGATGGAACTCGACTGTCAGCCTTGGTGACAAGTGTCTTTGCCTACTAAGCCTTTTTATTATGAGAATATATTACTTTTGTTTTCTAAAACAATACCTAATAACAAAGCTTTTTGGGGCTGGACACACAGCTCAGTGTGGAGTGCTTGCCGAGTATGCAAGGACTAGATTAAAAGAAAAATGGCTGAGATGGAGCAAGAAAATGGATATATCCTGGCAATACATTTTTGAATGTATTACATTTTGTTATTCATTCATCTACCAGTGGACATTTGAAAGAATGAACATCTTTGTATTATTTAGCCCTTCTAATCCATGAATCCTGTATGATTTATCATTTATGTAGGCCAGTGAGTC